TTCTTTTACTAGATAAAAATAATAAACATATATGATATAAATTATATATCTCTATAAATAAATATAAATTCATTTCTATAAAAATTATTAAAGTTATTAAAAGTTTTTAAATGTTATTAAAGTTATTAAAATCTTTTTATGTTACTCTCTTTTTTATGGTAACTGTGAGTTATTTGTGTATAATTTCAATGTACATTATTATGTGCTAGTGTCAAAAATTAAATTCCGTTGAAACCTCTATAAGTCGAATTTTTTTTCCGCATCTCTATAATTCAAAATACTTGATAACTCGAAACTCGATACTCGATAACTCAAATTGTTATTTATTCTTTTAAGATTCGAGTTAGCGAGATTCGACTGTATTAAATTTTTGGCCATCTTACACTTATAACTTTTTACGTCAAATATTGCGAAAAATCGATTTATGTAAACAAATTAGGGTGGTTCCATAAAAAAAAATGGTGACCTTGAAATAACCTCATGAGATTTTCATCCAAAATCAAACCAATAGCACGATCTTATGTCCCCCTCAACGTCACAAAGCTTTTATACAATACATATTTTCCATGATAACGCGTCATTTACAAGATATTCGAAGTGGGCAATTAAAATGTACGTAACGATGAAGATCGATTTACACAAGTGCTCGGAATTAGATGCCCTTTTCGGGCTGAAGCGACGCCTAGAATCCCTCCACTATCGTTCGACACTCGGCGGCCGAACCGCCGATCGCGCGTGTAACGCTGTCTTAGGAGAGTCCCTATACATATATAAAAAATATGCCTTAATAACGTACCTTCCGCCAAATCGTAATAAAAATGATCTTTGCTAGATAATTTTTATTTTCGTAAACAATTAAATATCAAAATTTTTATTATTAATATTGTAAGAGGGCTTAGGAGGTTAATCTAAAAAAACCACTCTTAGTGTCAGGGTGAGGGCTTAGCTCAGAAGGATTTTCTGGTGGATCAATATTTTTTTAATAAACACAACACTTGTAGGGTTGTATAAATATATTTTGAAATATAAAAGGCTTAATACGCAGGAACGCGTTAACCGTTGCGAACACTTTTACTGCGGGGACAAAGATTCTCCTGACCAAGCTTAAAGTTACGCACGACACTCTCTGCCGCTAACTCGAGCGCGCGTCTCTCTCCTATATCCCGTGAGCTGACATCATCATGACGTCATTGCATAAGCGCAGAAGCGCTAGCGGATGCGCACGCCGACCAGAATAGACGGCGTTGTGTAAGGTATAACTCTAACAATATATTATATGTTTATGTAATCTATTATACACATATATATATATATATATATATATATATTATATATGTTATAATAATATATTTTAGACAGTAATATACAATAATTACAATTCTGATAATAGCTTTTCACTAGTGAAATAGGCCCACTGGGGAAACCACTTTAAAAAAAGCGCATCAACAATACCTCATAAGTGATGTAGAAACTATTATCAAAATTGTAATTAATATATTTTATTATCTAACATATATTATTATAACATATATAATATAGAGCGTGTTCGAAAAGTTCCGGACCACCTGTTTTTCTCGGAAAATACGCATTGGACAAAAAAATGTTAGGAACAAAAATTTAATATTTTTTAGGGAGCTATTCAACTCCGTAAAAATTGGCCCTCTCCCTCACCCCCCTTAGGGGGGGAGGAAGGTAACTTTGGAATTTTAAATGGGAATCCTCCTTTTTTATTGCACATTGTTATAGCTTAACTCGGGAGCTTTTCAAAACACTATAATAAAGTATTCTTTTATTAAGTACTTTTTGAGTTATTTCATATTTTAATCTGACATATTTTGATATAAAAATTAAAATATCTCGTAAAATATTTAGTTTTCGATAATCTTACCGTAATACTTTTATGTACAGAATAATGAGACAAATCAATTAGTTTAAAAAAAAAAATTGGGGAGGGCCAACTTTTACGGAGTTGAATAGCTCCCTAAAAAATATTAAACTTTTGTTCCAAACATTTTTTTGTCCGATGCGTATTTTCCGAGAAAAACAGGTGGTCCGGGACTTTTCGAACACGCTGTATATGTGTATAATAGGTTACATATATAATATATTAATGATAGAAATTTTAATATTTAATTATTTATGAAAATAAAAGTTATCTAACAAGGAAAATTTTAATGACGATTTGGCGGAAGGCACGATCCCAGCATATTTTTTATATAGAGACTCTCCTGTGGCATAGCGTTACCTGCGCGATCGGCAGTTGTCGAGTCTCGAACGATAGTGGGGGGATTGCAGTCGTCGCCTCAGATATCGGCCCGAAAAGGGCATCTAATTCCGAGCATTGGTTTACATGGACTCTACTCGGATTTGGGGAGTCGTTCCTCAGTATCACTTGTCATTTACCGATTTTAATTTTGGATTTAGATTGTAGCAATCAATATTGCGCAAGTTATAATTTTAATATGAATTACATTTTTATTTTGTCATAAATGCTGAAGATAAACCAAGAAACGGTCCGAAACATACATTTTTAATGCATACTCATCACTGAAATTTAACAACAAAAAGTTTACGCACCAATAATCGCGCCTTGGCTCTTATTTGCCAGTTTCCTACTTACAAGTAACACTAGGGAAGTGTCATACGGCGATTTTCCTGAAACTTGGCATACAAGTAGTACATGGAAAACTATTAGACACGTATATTGTTATATCGGCCCGAAAGCCATTTGAAGGGTAGAAATCGCCCTTACCTATTTTGGGGGTAGGTTCGACTATTTCACGAATTATTTTTACGATTGTTGCAAAATCAGGTAACTAAGGGTTTTTGGGGTCGCTGATAACGAATCTCAAGTCCGTTTTTAAGAACTCAAAATGGCGGATCCAATATGGCGGTCGCATTTTTTCAAAAGTTTTACACCCTGTCAAAAAGTGCGAAAATTGCAAAAAAGTAAGAAATGAGCATAACTTTGAGGCGAATTTGTAGCAAAAAGGTCCTAATCTCGATTTTGGGTACATAATTTTAAAGTGAATCATGGAATTGTATCGAGAAAGATAAATAAATTTGTAACTAAAAAACAAATATCGTCAAAGGAAAAATTATTACAAGCATCAAACGAATTTGTTTCTAAAGTAAAATCAGAGATCATGTTGGTAGGTGAGACAATGTCTATAATTCCGATCAATCGGGGTTCAATTTAGAAACGCATGCAGGTCGCACGCTTGCTTTAAAAGGATCATTGAAAGTCGAGTGTTTAGCGCAATCTTTGAATTCTTTGACGCACAGCTACACTATTCAGCCAATCGTTTCTGCCAACGGAGATTTAAAGTTCCCTTTATTAATAGTCCTGCAAGAGACTAGTGGTAAATTTGGACCAATCGTTGAGAAAACTATATTGTATAGCAGACAATATTGTCGTATTTGCATCAAAATCAGGCAAATTAACATCCGACCTTGCCATTAATTGGTTCCGGCTTTCGGGCCGATATAACAATATACGTGTCTAATAGTTTTCCATGTACTACTTGTATGCCAAGTTTCAGGAAAATTGCCGTATGACACTTCCCTAGTGTTACTTGTTAGAAGAGAAACTCACAAACCCGAAAATTCTGATTTGAATGAAACTTTACAGACACGTAGGGGGGATCAATAGAGAAATTTATAGACTGAAGTGAGGGGGAGATTTAAGGCGACAGGAGGCACGAACCAAGCATCCATCCCTTCCGTGGCAGCGGCACTGTCGTATCTGTGTAGGGCATTTACATACTCTTTCGGCCCGACAAATAATTGTCAGAAAACAACATTTGCGGATCTGAAAAAATATGCGAGGTACGAGTGGCTGAATCAGGAATCGAACCCGAGTCTTTCACTTTCCGGACAACTGCTCTTACCACTGAGCTATTCAGATCTCATACCTTACGCCACTTTAATACAGTTTATACGACTTCAGAGTGATGTTAGAATCTCGCTCAATAGATGCAATGTCGACCGCCATGGAGAGACGATATACCCAGCCCGTCTCCAGAGCGAAAGTCATATGGTCCAGCTGCCAGGGCTGGTTGGTCGCTCACGAGAAAATGCAAAGCCTCTGTAGATGATCCTTTTTGAATAGTTCATCCTAAACTGCTAAGCCTAGCAGCAGCCCCCTCTCCTGTTCCCAATTAATAATACGATCGTCCACCGTCACCACGTAGTGGCTCTAGTGGACAGATTACCAGCATTTACGCTGGCACAGATATTCACCGCAGACTGAATTGAGGGGGGGATTTAAGTTTATATAAAAATGTAATATACATTACTCAAAAAAAAATAGAGAACACTTTTCATATCCTACAAATTGAGCTATTTTCAAACCACAGATTACCAGCATTTACGCTGGCACAGATGTACACCGCGGATTGAAGTGAGGGGGGGATTTAAGACAGCAGGAGGCAATATAAATTTTTAGTTGCGCCCAAAAACGGTTTTAAGAGGTGAAAACACCCCTCATATGTAGAGCGACTTTTTGCTTTTCTCGATATATTTCGAAAACTATTTGGGATATCAAAAAATGTTTTATACAAAAGTTTTATAAGCAGCTCTTATTTAGCAGCACTACTTAACCATATTAATAAAAATTTGAAAAAATTATTTTTTTAAAAGGTTTCTAAAATTTCTTTTTTTTTAATTATTTTTTTAAATTTTTATTAATGTTGTTAAATAGAGTTGTTTTTACCATAAAACTTTTGTATAAAACATTTTTTGATATCTCGAATAATTTTTGAGATATATCGAGAAAAGCAAAAAGCCGCTATACATATGAGGGGTGTTTTCACTCCTTAAAACCGTTTTTGGGCGGCAACTGAAAATTTCTGAATTCATCTATTGATCCCCCCTACATGTCTGTAAAGTTTCCTTAAAATCAGAATTTTCGGGTTCGCGAGATTCGCTTGTTAGTATTGTTAGCAATCTAAGCCTATTGCTATTATTATTCTAATTTAACTTTATCTTACAATTTTTACCTTTAGATAACTGCAAATACAGTTGTCGACAAGACGCCTACTAACGTGCGAGTCCACGGCAGATAGGGGGTCGTCTAATAGATAAATATCGGCGTCTTTATAAATTCCTCGTGCTAAATTGATTCTGGTGCGCTGGCCACCACTTAGATTTATTCCTCTTTCACCTACGATAGTATAATCACCCTGAGGGAACGAGTTTATGTCTGATTCCATTTGGCAGACTTTGATTACTTCATTGTAACGTGACTTGTCTATTGTTTGCCCGAATAGAATATTCTGCTTCACGGAAGACGCGAAAATCCATGGTTGCTGACTGATGTAATTTATTCTGCCACGACTTTTGATGCTTCCACTCATCAAGGGCAATTCCTGGAGTATCGCTTGCAACAGACTACTTTTACCCGAACCTACTTGACCGACAATGGCTACGAAGCTTCCAGGAAGTACGGTTAAGTTCACGTTACGTAATGTATAGTCCTTATCATCACCGTGCCATTTGGCGTTAACATTGATCATACGAAGTGCGAACGATTCATTAATCGTATGGCATAGGTTCTCTTCTTTTCTTTTAATGATCTCAGTGTGCATCATAAATCTTTGCAAACGGCGAATGCAAACCAACGCCTGTGCCATTTGATGGAGACCTACACGGAACATACTTATTTTTAGATTTATATTTCTTATTGTTAGATTTATATTCCTTATTTTAATTCCCATAAGAAGTTGTCCATCTTCGATTGACTATTCTTTATCTTTTATTATAAATAACATAATTATCAACTCCTCAATGTTTTTATTAAATAAAGTTAACATTGGCTAAAATCTATAGATAAATAAAATAAAAATTAAGTAATATAAAAATTTATGAATATGTACTCTACTTTTTTGTATTTCATTATTAATTATTGAAGTATTTTCTTATTTTTATGATATCTTCAATAGTTTTCGGTATCTGGTAAGGAAAAGTATGTACGATGCTATTTTTAATAAAAAATGCCCATTCTTAATTTTAGCAATAATCTTACCCATTGAAAATCCAAAAATCATTGAGTTTCGTAAGACATTGTAATATGCTGTTACCAAATACACTTTTTCGGCATTAATATAATTTCCAAATAAGACGTACGCCAGTATTGTGATGAAGAGACAGAGTCGTGGTACATAACAATCGAGAGTAAGAGCTAATTGTTTTACAATAGAACACTTTTTTATTACGCTCATCTCACGCCTGAAAATCATAAAGTATCAATGACAATTTGATTAAGTATGGTCATGACTATAGTTATAAACGAAAACGTTGAAACTATTGTATGTCTACATCTACATCTACACTATATTATAAAGAAGTAAAGTTTTTGTTTGTTTGTTCCATTGTTCGGGATAATCTCAGAAACTACTGAACCGATTTGAAAAAATTTTTCACTGGTGGATAGCTTAGATCTTCCTACCATAAGCTATATATCATCGCGCTGCAATGTCTAGGAGCCGAGCAGTAAAGAAGAACGTGCGTGAAGTCGAACAAAAATACGTCGTTCACGCTCTATATTCTAATTTAACGTAAAAGCTACACCACCGATTTTGATAAAACTTTTATCAGTACGTTTCTAGACATCTCAGGAGTTTTTAAGGATATGAATCTTAATTGACCCATATTTGTCCATGCTCACAAATCCGCAACCACATAGCGAGCGCGCGAAGCGCATGAGAAAAAAACGCCAGCTAGTTTGTGTATATATATATGTGCACATATATGTATACATACATACATCTACAGGGTGATCCGGAACAACCGTTTGTCCTTAAAAGGTCGTATTCCTGAATCAATTCTAAGACGATTTTTCCTTTACGAAAATTTTGTCTGAAGCTTAATTTTTAAATTATAAAAAGAAGTAGTTAGCGAATTACGGGACGAGTACAGAAGGTAGGCAGGGACGGTGTAACTCACCAATGCAGGCGCTTATGTGAGGCGCTTGCTACAGCTGATCGAGCGCTATTTGCTAAACGCGATGGATGTGTGTGTGTGAGAGAGAACGTGTACGCGAGATGGTAGTCTCGCGTCAATCACGTGACACACGTTCGCGCTCGGCAGCGCTAGTACCGATATAACCTGCTTATTGTCGTCGCGTGGTCTCCGCGTCGAGTAACGTACGTTGTGCATTTAACGCAAAGACGAAAAATCGCCTTAGAATTGATTCAGGAATACGACCTTTTAACGACAAACGGTTGTTCCGGATCACCCTATATATATATATANTACCCATTTTTTATTGCACATTCTTGTAGCTTATTTCGAGAGCTTTTAAAAACACTATAATAAAGTATTTTTTTCATTAAGTACTTTTTGAGTTATTTTATATCTTAATCTGACATATTTTGATATAAAAAATCAAATATCTCGTAAAATATTTAGTTTTCGATAATCTTACCGTAATACTTTTATGTACAGAATAATGAGACAAATCAATTAGTGTAAAGAAAAAAAACAAATAATTGTTTAAAAAAATACATTGTAAATAACAAATGAGGTTATAAATGCCAAAAAACAGGCCTGTTTCGTTTTCGGTGGGTGTATATTATATCATATCGTCAGTATATTATATTGTATCATATCGATGTATCCTGTATATTATATCAGACAGAATGTTGATATTAATATTTATATTTTGATATTAACATCAATATAACTATTTTTTTAAACCACATTTAAATGCAATAATTAATTATTTGTAGAAACAATTACTAATTTTTAAAATGGAAAGTAATTATTTTTCGAGTAATTAGTAATTTGTTTGAGAATGATTACTAATTATTGAAAAAATTAGTAATTTATTTTTAACAAACTATTAATTATTTTAATAATTAAGAATTTAATTCTACTGATTACCAATTCTTAATTAAAAATTAATTCATTTTCGCCTAAATACTAATTTTTTACGTAATTAGAAATTTTTCTCTGACGGATTATCAATTTTTAAATAATAAGTAATTTCTATTTCTCGAATTATTAATTTTCATATAACTAGTAATTTTTTGTGACTAATTATTAATTTGCTAAGTCATAAAAATTTAGTTTGTTGTTATTGCAATTTTTTGAGTAATTAAAAAATAAAAAATAAATATTACTTTTTTGCCGATCACTGGCCGGGCGTACGTCGTTGAGCTGTGCGCCTGATAGTGTACGTGAGCGCTCTGCCGTTACGACGCGGCGGCGCGGCGGCGTTTTTCGCGCATGCCGATAGCATGCAATATTTTTATGCATCATAATAATAGAAATAATTTTTTCTTGTACTAAAAATCATATTCATATAAAATATAATATAACTCAAAAAACACTTAATGAAAAAATACTTTATTATAGTGTTTTGAAAAGGTCTCAAGAAGTATTATAAGAATATGCAATAAAAAATAAGGGTTCCCATTAAAAAAAAATAAAGTTGACCTTGAAATAACCATGAAAATCGTTACCTGCAAACATTCCTATAACATCAACTTATTCTCCCTTGAAATACTACAACTTTTATTTGAAACATTTTTCTCTAGAAACAATATTTCTGGAGATAAAAATTTATGACGCTTTATTTTATCTACCCTGTAAAAATACTGCAAAAAAATTATTTCTATTATTACGATGCGTAAGAATATTCTATGCTAGCGGCGGAGCGGTCACGCACGTTACCAGCAGTGATGCAATTTTGCGTTTTACAAGGAACTTCCTTGTGTATGCTACCCCTTCCATACGCGCTGGCAGCGAATACAAAACGAAAAACTTGCATCGTTGGCCGCGTTCAGCAGAGAAAGCGCTCAGTTATCGTCTTATCAACACTTGACGTTGATTCGTTGGTTCTAAAAGTAAGAACCAATCACATTCAATTGCTACTAAGCGGTTTTCTCTGCTGAACGCGGCCATTGACTATCAGGCGCACGGCTCACTGCGCTCGGCTAAAGGTCGGCGCTGATTGGCCAGATTTTACTCAATAATAACTCCTTTATTAAGCGTTATAAAAAAGAATGGTTCAGGACTTTTCGACTCAGTTTGATCCAATCTACTTCCACCTTTCGTTTGGTCACTTACTTGTCGGACACCTTGTATATATATATGTATATATATTTCATGATTTTTTTCGAATTAATATATTAAGCAGCATTTGATTTTTATGATAGATTAAACTGATCTTGAACCGCCACTATCGTTATTCAAATCAATTTTAATGTATACTTACTTTCTCGCTTTTTCCACGAAATTATAAAAAGGAATTTCCCAAACGTACATTTTAATTACTTGTAATCCGGTGATTATTTGATTCATCAATCTGAGTCTATCATCTGATCTTTTCGCTGCTTTAAGCGTTAAAGGTGTGATTTTTTTCGCCAAAAACGCTGAAATAGTATACGTCATTTAATATACTTATGCTATTTAATAATATGACATTTGTTCACCAAATAAAAGAAAAAGTTGCTGAAAAAATAATAGAATACTATTTGCAATAATAGAATATTATTACAAATATGAATTAACTATATATTTTTTATAAAAATATTAACTTAAATAGATATTAACAGAAATGTGCCATGCATGAAGGTGATAAATTTGTTAAATTAAACGCAAGTTTTTAAAGAATAATAACGTAACAGAAATGCATTCAAAACCATTCGCAAATACAGTTTTATTAATATTTTGTTATAAAAATATGAAAATATAAAACATTCAAAATGATAAATATAATATAAGAAGAAATTTAGGTAAACCTTGATATTAGCGCCAACCTCGCGGATTTCAATGACCTTGACATATGTTGTCAAGGACATGGCTCTGAGTAACTTGTAAAAAATTTTAGCTCGTTGTTTATTACAAAGCTATTAACAATTAAATGATATAATAAGAACACGTATTAAATCCGATAATCTGAACTTCTCCATGCATGAGCGTTATATATTTAAGTATTTAGTTGTATATTTAAGTTATTAATTGTATATTTAAGTAATTGTATGGCGGGGGAGAGGCTTTAGGATTAAACCAAATTTTAGTTTTGAATCAGAAATAGGTTTGGATTAGGTTATATTTTCTGGAAGTGGAGCCTCCCCGTAGGGGGTGCGGAACCCACTGTGCCCACGCATATATTTTATAACGCGAAGCGAGGTCTATCCCGCAATTGTTGTGTGGATGGAAAAGTGTATGCGTGGACGCAGTGGATTCCGCCCCCCTCCTCTACAGGAAGCTCCACTTCCGGAAGATATAATCTAAACCAAACCAAATTTTAGTTTTAAATCAGAAATAGGTTTGGACTTAGTGTAATCACCTAGGAAATCAGTGGCGTTTAAGTAATAAGTGCCAAGAAAACTGTTATTAACTAACATCACGAGGTCACCGGACGTATCTCCGAGCCACCTTTCCGTACAGTCAACTCTTCTAAGACAGATAGAGGGTCGCTTCTCCAATTCAGTAGGAATTAAATTCGTACCTTTATACGCAATATACTTCCACGCATATACTTTACAACGCGAAGCGAGGTTTACCCCACAATCCTTGTGTGGATGGGCCGAAATACATGCAATCTTATGTTGCGACATAAACAACGAGCGACGGCTAAAATTTTTTGCAAGTTACTCATTGTCAGAGCCATGTCCTTAACAACATATGTCAAAGTCATTGAAATCGGTGAGGTCGGTGTTAACATCAAGGTTTACCGAAATTTATATTAAATTACAAAAATTAGATGAACATATCATTTTTCTTAAAAAACAGACAAAATTTCGCCAGCTGTAATTTTGTTAAAAATAAACAAAATTTAGATCCAAAAAAGTTTTAAAGCTTAAAATTTCTACGTTCGAAAGATCAGTATTATTTTTCAGTTTCTGTGAGTTTGGAAATTTTCACATATAGAAAACTACGAACTGAACAAAATGAGAAATTTTCTTCTCACTTTGTAGGCCTATCACATACTCCAAAAAAATCTGCGAGTTTTCAACTTTCTGATGTGAAAGCTTAAAGTTTTCTTTACAAAATCTTTTTCTTTTAATTTTTCTAAGATTATTTGTTACTGAGTTATCCGCCGATTAAATAAAAAATGAGCATTTTGACTTTCAAATTGCTCATAACTCCATTAAAAATCATCGTACCACAATTCCAAAAACAGATTTGTAAAGCTGAAACTTTGCTTGAACGGTATAATTACCAAAATTTTTTCAAAAACATGTGGACATGATGCAAAAGTGTGAAAATAACGCAAAAATTTGCGATTTTTCCCTTTTTTTTTGACTCAAAAAACAACATAAAAAGATTTATTCTTTATGTTTTTTCGTACATTTAATTATTTTTAATTCGATAAATATTGCCGTACAGCTATGGGATTTTTTTCATAGTGGCCACTATGATTTTATAAAGAAAAACGTACAAAAAATTGTGAAAATGCTTCATCTCGGTGAAAAAAAAAAGATAAAATTTAATTAACGTTAAAAAGATTGGTTTTCTGTGCACTAATACTACTTTTACTTTTACTAAATGTTAGCAAAAACAAAAAAAAATTTTTAGTTTTTTTCACCGAAATTTAAAAAAATACCGTCTAACGACGTTAGCGTTATTCCAGTGATTGAGGATGATAACGATGAAAATTAAGAAAATGTTGATTTTATAATAACTATAACAGCAATACTAGTACAAATATATGTGAGAGACGAGGGGACTCACAAAAATTAAGCACTTGGATGGAGTAAGAGTATGAGTGAGTTTAAAAACGTACTGCAACCTCCTTGCGGTAAACTATATTATCGGAAATTATATTATTTATAGGCTAACTGCAGACGTCCTAATGGAAATATTGTTATTATTATATTAAAATACATAATTCCTTTTTAACTGTTGAGAATTTTCACAAAATAGAACTGTTTATCATTGTCTGTTTCAGATATTTTCATGATAATCTTATTTTCACTGAAACGTAACATAAAAAGACATTCAAACATTTACTTTAACTGGATAAATGTATAAGTCTTTATTTTCACCAATTTCGATGACAATTAAACAATACAATAGGGATAGGTTCCATCGCACTAGCCGGCGTTGTGTAGTGTGGCGTAGTATAGTGCGACGCTGCGTACATGAGTTTGTGGCGGCTTACAGCAACCACAAAATTACAATAGCGCAACCCGCGACATGGCGGCCCACGCGCTCGCGCGTCCGCGCGAAACATCGGACGGCGCCGCTAGGCGGTGTAGGACGAATCAAGCGAATCTGAAAGTGGAAAACGGTCAAGAGGGAATATAAGACGGACCCCCTACGGAGAAAGTACACAGAAGAAAGCTCTCGGCGCTAGACGCCCGATACCGATCCGAGAAGAATCCTTCACCACGCCTCGAGCCAAGCACGAGATCAGCTCATCTCGACCATCGGAGGACGAGATAGCAGCACGGCGAAGAACTCGCCCAACGCCGCTGCACATCATCTCCGCGAAACGAAGAAGAATCGGCGCTCAGTCGCCTACATCTGGCGCTCAGTCACCCAGATCGTCTGGCGCTAGATGCCTCGCTCCCGGCGCTAAGTCGCTGAAATCACCAGGCGCTTTGTTTCCCTCGCTTCTCCGGCGCCAAGTCGCCGAAATCACCAGGCGTTAGATACCTCGTTTCCATTGCTAAGTCGTCGAAATACGGCGCTAGTGGTCTCTCCATGAAACGACCAGTATCCGGCGCTAGATTGCCAGTAACCGGCGCTAGTTTGTCGAAACCCTGCGACATTTAGTTATCTACCGTAAAAGGAGGGAAGGACGACCGTCCAATAACCCCAAACATCGTCAAGGAAAGGAGTTCAACGCCGACCATTCAGTGGTAGTTCCGTCACTCATCTCGCCATCAAAGAGATCTCCAAGGCGAAAAGCGATCTCCACACAGGCGAGTCCAAGAAAGATCCATATAAATGTCGCCACGCAAACGAAAAAGAGAGAAGGAAGATTAAGAAGACTCGGGTTCGATTCCCGATTCAGCCACTTGTACCTCGCATATTTTTTCAGACCCGCAAATGTTGTTTTCTAACAATTATTTGTCGGGCTGAGGAAGTGTGTAAACGCCCTACACAGACACGACAGTGCCGCTGCCACGGAAGAGATGGATGCTTGGTTCGTGCCTCCTCCCGCCTTAAATCCCCCCCTCGCTTCACTCTCAATAATAATTATTTGAAATGTAATTATTGTTACGTCCTGGCGACTCCACGATTCCTCCCTTCCGCGCAGTTGCGGCAATGATAAGCGATCGGTGATAGAAATGAGTCGTTCGGTAAATAGAGCATCTTGCGTCACACAAAACATTTTTTAATAAACATTTAGTCACTTATCAATATCTATATCTACGAGTAACCCTGAGAAAGACGCGAGAGACCGGTGACGAAACCTCGCCGGTCGCCTAAAAATAAATAAAAACCAGTAGATACCTCGCAGTAGAATTCTCCAGCGGAATAAAAAACTGATACCGCGAAAAGATAAATCACCAATCGACGATCGTCATGAGTGAAAATTTGAAAAGTAGGAGAAACACCCCGCCTAATGAGGACACTGGCACAACTTTTAATTCGTTAAAGTTTTGGAAGATTCCCACTCTTAGAAATTAGAATACACCCCGAAAAGAGAAATATAAAAAGAGGACTCGACGAAGGGAGATACGATCACTTACGTACTTGCTCTCCAGCTTCGACATAGTCTTATTAAGTGCCTTGGTACCGCGATACGCAAATCAGAGTTAATAGTGCTATACCAGTGTCCTCATCCAGCATCATCGTTGGTCAACCGCAACCAGAGCGACCCACAAGGCACGAAGCCAGTCTAACTATAAAACTTGCACCTTCCATCTTCGAAATAAAAAGTAAGTCACATTCATCCATTCCATTTATACCATTAACCCTCGCAATAAATAAGCGCTACATTACACTCACTCTGGTTTCGTAGTGAAAACCAGATCCGGTACTACATATACCATTACATCCAGCCGAATAGCAATTCGCAGGAGTCGGAGGACTCGCCGTCCATTAAACTGCGAATTTTGCGACACGCATTTAAAAAAACCACTACGCATATCCACCGAATCTACTCTCCCTTCCTCGCCAAGATACTCCTCCCCAGTTACTCCCCCATCTACTTCCCCGACTATATCACTCCAGCGACCGAACCTCCGCTTTCCCCACGTTCCTTCTCCTCACTATCCACCATCCTTTTGAACAATTCACCCCAATGAAAGAAAGAATTGATATAATCATTTTGTAAAATGAGTTAAGAATAAATTGTTTTATATTATTATAAAAAACCATTCCATTACTACCTCTGTGACTTAACATAAATTGGGTTAGAATTACATTCACTAATAGAATAGCGCCCATAAGTTTTATTTTTTTTAACCTT